CTCCAGACCCGACGTCTCTTTCAGACAGAAATTGCATAAGCTTGCTGCAGAGTCTCAGATGTGACAAATTAACGTGATTTGTCATTTCTAGCTCTTCACATAAAATTAGACTTAGCAAGAGGAGTTCATTCCATGAAAGAAAATACCAGGGAGTAACAGACGTCTGAACTAAGGCAAGAGAGCAGATAGAGCATCAGTATCCAAGGAACGAAGGTCCACCCGCTTTTCCTGCCTACGGACAATGACAACTCTGGGCACACAAGGATAGTCACACGGTTTCAGAATGCTGGGCATTCGCGACAGTTAGGATAACAATAACAATTAGACACTGGATCCTCAAGGCAAGCAGCCAGGTTTCGGTAGATACATAGGAAAAAGGGGTAGCATTTAAAATGTGTATCCCTGCCCGGCCAGGCGTGGCTCAGTGGTTGAGCGTCGACCTAGGATCCAGGTGATCAGGATTCGATTCCCGGTCAGGGCACATGCCCGGGTTTCGGGTTCGATCAATGACTCATCATTGATGTTTCTATCTCTCTCTCCCTCTCCATTCCTCTCTCTGAAATCAATAAAGATATATTTAAAAAAATAAAATAAAATAAATAAAAATAATAATAATAAAATGTGTATCCCTGAAGGGATGAGCTACTCATAACGTATTCTCTTCTTTGCTGCCCTCTCTCTCTCTCAGCCCCTCTACACTATTCATTGTGGTTTTGGCATCCCACCTCCACACCTAATTTTCTACCTTGAGCTTTGTTCTCAATTTCTTCTACAGTGCAATCTCCATAGCAGAAAAAGGGAAGAAAAACAAAAGGATAACTGGAAAATGCCCACGGATCTAGATTAGAAAAATAACTTCAGTTGTGCTTGGCGGGGGGAAGGGTGGGGGCGGAGTGTGCTGGAAGGACACTGGTCTTGGAGTCATCTGGCCAAGGTTCAAGACCCGGTCCTGCTCCTGGCTCACAGGAGGCCCTGACAGGTCTCTCAATCTCTGGGAGCTGCAGATCCTAATTTGCAAAATGGAGATAACAGTCATTGTCCTGTGGACTCCCAGGGCTGCTTGTGAAGGTCAAATGAGACAATATTGTGAGCAGTCCTGTAAAGTACTGAATAAATGCATGGGGTTCCTGTTAACTCCGTTTAACATCTCTCTTAGCTCATCACATTGAAGACCCCCCACTCCTCCAGGGAACTCTTTCCCATCACTGTCTAGTCCACGTCATCTGGACAGGGTCTGACACAGTCCCCACCCCTCTCTGCTTGAAGGGGCTTATGATCACTGCCTTCATATGCCATTTCATTGCTGGTTCATTTTACAAACATTGACTGAATGTCTGTTATACCTCAGACAGTGAGCTCTATTCTGGGGAAAGATATACATATAAGGCTCCTGCTATTTTCTAGGGATAGTTAATCCTGGAAAACTCACTCACTCTCATGCTAGGAAATTCATGATGGGTCTCACACACCCACTCCTCCTGGTCTTCAGTTACACCTGTTCCTTAGTTCTGCAATATCTGTGTGATGTTTGTGTTTTCTTTACCCCTAAATTTAGCAAATCCTAATGTTTTTCTCTCCTAGTATCACAGGATCCTAACTCCACAGATATGAGTTAGGCCATCAGCACTTCCTAATCGAAATGTAGGTGATAACCCCTTAATTTTTCTTCTTTCAGGGCATTAATATTACTTCTCTCAAATTGCTTGGACAATATATTTTGGAGGAACCATCTTCATTTCTACAGTAGATCCACAGCCTACTCTTGGCACAGTCCACAGCCTACCTTTGGGGTGATGGGAGTAACTTACTACCTGTCCTTGTGCCTCCAGCTTCTCTCCACCTCACCACACCCCATACTGGGCTGCTGGACTGATTTCCCACCCTGACTCATCTGACTCTCCAGCAATGCTGTCCCCGGGCTCAGGATTTCCCTGACGCCTAGGTACACAGTCCACCTCATGCTATCACACACATCCACAGGCTGCCTTGAAATGGTCACTCAATGGCCAAGATGTACCTTGGGTACCAGTGATGATATTTTAATGAATGCAGCTTCTCTCAAAGGGAAGGACTTGGGAATTAATTCCATCAGATACGTGGCAAAGGCCACCTTATAAAACAGTGAGGACAGGCACTGAGGCTAGTGACAAAGCATCTCTCAGCTCCTCAGGTCACAGGAGCAGGAGTGACGGAGCCAGGGGCCTGTGGGGTTGTCCCCCTTCTCTACCAGCACTTGCCTGGCAAAGGTGATGAGATTCCTACATTCTCTAATGAACAGATGATAAATAAACAACTTTTTTTTTTTTAAATCTAAACCGACAAGTTGCAGCTTGGAAATTTTTCCGTTTTTCTCATTGCAAAATCAATACCCATCAGCAGTTTGAAATTAAAGGCAAGATTAGGCCTCAGTTTTATACCTGCCCTATTGTATTCCAAAGCTTTCTACTCAGCCAGATAAATCTCCCTTAAGAGGATCAGGAAACCTTCATTATCTTTATCTAACCTGAACCAACACTAAGTGGGAAAAATTAATCCATAGGCTGGACAAGAGCCGATCGCTGCTGGGAAGGAGCGCTCTTGGACGTCTCGCTAACTGAGCGATGGGGTCGCTGCTTCCTCCCGCTGGAAATTCACCTGGTGTCCAAGGAAGGAAGGGGCCAACCATTGCTCACCAAGACAGAGGAGAATGCAGCGCCCCAGCTCCTCCTTTGGACCTGCTAAGTGTTGCAGAGAAGGTTCTCTCCCCATCCCCCCACCTTCTAAATGGAATTTCTCAGCCTCTCAGAGCTGTGAGAGGTGCTGGGCTGAACTTGAGGACTGCGAAGGACTGAGCCCCAGAACTGAATCTCTGCTTTCACCTTGCCTGTGCTCAGACCCTCTCTACCCAACGTCCTGAGGCCCACAGGGAGGCCCCACTGGCTTCCAGGTCCAGCCTAAATCCTAGCGCCAGGTGCCCCTGAAGAGCAGCACCCCCGCCTGCTCTCGAGCCCTTCCTGGCCCGAGTTGACTCTGACATGTGGTACAATCTGTCTTTTTTCCTGGGGCATGAGAGCTGCACTCTGTTTCTCTACACTCTCTGACAGTTCTTTTTTATCTCAGTGTCTCATTTTTTGGATTTGAAGAGAACTTTGCTGTCAAGGCCGCGAGCGAGCCATGGAGGCGTGGACTCCCAGTGCCCAGAATTTCAGCTCTTCCAGAACCAAGGCCAGTGACAGGCGGGGCAGGGAGAACTCGCGCCCCTGTGATCTGCACCCCAGGAACGTTAGCCAGGCATTCGAGCTCATCCCAGATGACCGATCTCACCCAGCCCTCGCCATCCTCTGAGGAGAAGCACTGGGTGACAGCTGTCTTCATCTCCAGATGGCAGGCCTCGTGTAGCCCCCAAGCGGTGATCAGCCCCAAGCCATCCCCCTGGGTGGGACATATGCGGAGAAGGGAAACAGCAGAGTGCACAGACATCTGTCGGATGGCAGGCTGGTGTGGGTGTCTGAAAGCATGTGGGGGGAGAGAAGGGCTGGGAGGCTGAGCTGAGGCGAGGCTCCACACAGTAGGGCAGCAGGGGGGCTGCTGGGGCAGGAACCGCAGAGCCAGACCCCTGGCCCAGCACAGGCCATCAGCATGGCTCAGAGGCAGGGACCTGGAGGCTGTGCTAGCAAAGAGCTGCTCTGGCCAGGAGAACGGCCACCCTGAATTGCACAAGTAACTGAAGTAGGAAGAAACGCTAACCCTACTCAAATTCTCCATGAAACCAAAGGAAATGGGCAAAACTGTATTTTTTAGAAAGGCTGGAGTGAGAGACTCCATATTAGCTAAGCTGGGATGCTGCACACATATCATAAACTGACAAATCCTTTGAACCTACTGCAATGGGACACAGTAAAAGGCAGCTTCGGAAGATGGCATCCTACACAGTGACCCCTGAGAGCCCAGTTCATGGCCCCAGGACACCAGTAGGGGGGCCCTGAGAGAGGCCCCCCAAGCCCCTCATGTGGTGGAGGAAGGTAGGGTCCTTGGAGGAAGGGGGCTGGCCTAGCACTCCCCGGCCCCAGTGCCTGACAGGAGCTGCTTTACACAGTGATGGGGGTGTGTGTGTGTGTTTGTGTGTGTGCAGTCAGTCGGGAGCAGTTCAAAATAAGTTTATTTGTACAGGTGTTTTGTTTTAAAATGTTCTCAGAGTCTCCTAACTGCTGTCTGAACACGTTTTTAATTTTTAACAATTGATATCTGAGTTTCTGACATTTCTTCAGCCCTATTTTTTATTCAAAATGAAATTTGAATAAAAAAATTATTAAATACTATGCCTGGGTTTTACTGATTCAGATTACTTATAGGAGACTAGGAGAGAATATTAGGAATTTAATCCCCCCTTTTTAATTATATCGATTTATTTCCAACATAGACCTGGGAATATAATTTTGACTAATCTCTCTCTTGACCTTGGCTCCACTGTGGGGTTAGGAGAGAGGCGTCGGCGCAGCAGGGATGCAGGGAGAGCCTGAGGACGCACGTCCTGGGCCACACAGGACCATCACCCACGCAAAAGCAGCCCGACTCACCTGATTTCATGTCAACAGCATTAACCTCTTTATCATAAGAGAAGCCTATAAAAGACCCTTAAAGACAATCTCTACACAAACATCATTCCATTTTATTACAGTTATGTTTATGAGTATAGAAAGTGGCTATCATATCTATTTTCTAAATCTACCTGGCCCCAACTCCAGAGTACTGAGTAACTTAAGAGAGCTCAACCAGCCCATGCCAAACAATTTATTGATAAGAACTGAAGGATCAGAGATACAACTGAGAAGTTTCTTGAAACTGTTCAGTACTCAGTCAACCCAGCAGATGGGCAGGAATCCCAGACTTACACTCAACCTCTGGATTCTGTAGAGGAAAATAACTTTTTCTGTCTTCATACATGAGTAGAAGCAAAGCCTGAGATTGTCCTCCCCTCCATCATTGTCAGAACCCAACCCGAAAATCTGGCTGTGGCTCACCTTGCACAATGAGGTGGACCCGCGAGGTCTTGGGGTGGTTGTCCGTCTGCACGGAGCAGGTGTAGGGGCCCTCGTCATACACGTCCACGTTCTGGATCATGATGCTGTACTGGGTTGGGGTGTTGACCAGAATGATCACTCGAGGGTCTATGGACCACTTGTCATTCCCCGCGTAGAGGATGGTGCTGCGGTTTAGCCAGGCCACCCGGGTAACTCTGTCATCTATGGTACACCTGTGGGGTGGGCGTGGGGGAAAGGGGGAGGGAAGGAGAAAGGGGAATATTGAGGAAGGGAGAGAGGAAGAAAGAAGAGTGTTGAGAGATTACTTTATACATACAGTGGTTGTGCTTCAAGGAGTAAATAAAACAACATAACCTAGCACTACAAGAAAACAATTATTGATGAGATTCCTAAATATAGGTTAACGCCGGCCTGAATCTTCCTGAAGAGCAGGAACATATTCTGTGAATATCTTTGCTGTAGATTTGCTTTCCATCTTATTTCTCCCTTAGGCTTATATGGAAATTAGTTTATATTTCTTGAGCACATTGAGCACCTCGTGGGAGAAGTAGCCCAGGGGCACAGGGGAGAGAAAGTGGATCAGTGTTTCAAACGGGTCACAGATGATCCACAAAGCAAACACCTAGCTTGTCGTTAGTCAAAAGCAGAACATGTTTACCTCCAGCCCTCCCTGGTGCTGACAATCTCCTAACCTGCCCAGTCTCCTAACCTGCACACCACATGGCTTGAAAAATCCCCCTGAGAGAGCCAGTGGTTTGGGAGGAAGCCGTGGCTGCCTCTCAGGATTTCCAGAGAGGGAAGGCGAGATGAGCAGGCAGGCCCTCCCTCTCGGGCTCCTCTCCCCGGGCCTCCAGAGGAGACAGTGGCTGATGTCACCGGGTCACCATCACACCTCTCACCTACTCTTCCCAAAAACTGGGAGGCAAACAGAGTGTGCTTTTTGGTGCATGTGACTTGCCAGCTATCATGTTTAAAGTAGAGAAAATACATCCGTGGGTCAGGAAGAAGAGGCGCTCATGTACCCCAGGAACTTAGAACCTGCAAAGGGAAAATGAGGGAAAAGAAATTCTCTATCAACGTGGACCCGCAGCCAAGGGTGTGATTAAAGGGTAGGTCTGTGCCCACCTAGCACTCAGCGCCCTACCCTCGGGTCAGAACCTGAGCCGGGTATCTGAGCAAACAGCAAGGGGCAATTGCAGCCCCACCGCTTCCCCCAGATGTCCCCGCAGAGGGTAGGAGGCGTGCCTCCTGGGCACAAGGAATGTGAACCCAGGGCCTCCAGGTGAGGAGACAGGGAGAAAGCACTGCCATCGCTCACCACGGCTGATCCCCCTGGAGCGACAACAGGGATCCTCCTGGCAGGCTCAGGAGATGGGCAGCAGGCCAAAGCCACCGGCAGGGAAGACGTGAGGACGTGCCCTTCCCCTTGGCAAAGGAGCCGCCTGACAGGGTCAGGGGAGCAGCTAGCACTGCAGCACCTAGAGGACAGCCCTCGTTGGAAGGGGGAAGCCTCCGTCTAGAGAAGTACTGTCCCTGGTTGGCAGGAGGGATAGAAATGACACTAGCTTCCAATTACTGGGACTTTTTATGCACAGGCTCACCGGTCATTCAGCGGGTGCCAAGGGCCATGGGGCAGGCCTGGGGTGATCATTAGGTGCTTTCAAATTATAATAGGAGGGAATTTTTCTCTTCTAAATGATCTTTATTAGCTGTGTTTTTTTAAACTACAAAAGCAAGATAAACATGTTTAAACATGTGAAGAAATATCATACAAAGGTGCCTAAAGGCCAAAATAATCTTTCCATCTCCACCCAACTCCTGGTTCCTGAGGTCTGCACACCGGTAGTTAGAGACTTAATTTTGTATTTGTTTCTAGGTATCATCAGTGAGATGAGTTTTGGGGACCTAGCTTTACTCTCCATAAGGCCCTGATAATTCAGGCATTGTTAAATGACTCTTTCCCACCTTAGTAAGCATGTCATTGGTATGAAGAAAAATTGAAGTCATGTTTTTTCCTCCGTATCCTGCAACGTTAGCTTCACTTTCCACAACACTTTTTTGTTTTATGGAAACTTCCTCATTGTGTTTATGAAGAAGACGAAAGCCCAAAAGGACCTGCCCCGCTTTGAACTTCCAAAAGCATTTTTATAGGAAGTAATTATAAACTCATCCATTGGCTCTCAGCTGTAAAGGACTGATCAGGCAACCGCTAGCCTCAGGACTGCTGTGTCTGAGTAACTGCTAACGATGGGGCTCCCATCAGGCAGCTCCAGGCACTGGTGAGCCTGGGCAAACGGGGAACCGAGGCCGGGGGAGAGTCTTCCAGGCCCTGGGACCACACAAATGCAGGTGACTGTGCGCAAACAAACATTCTTGCTTTTATTTTGGCCAATTACATGTCCCCCGGCACATTTTCAAGTTGACATCAGTTTTAAAATTTAAGTTATAGTTGCAAAGAATGCATTTTTGGTCTGTGGAAAATATTCACATTTTAAAATTAAAACATAGCAATAGCCATATACGTATATGTATGTACGTTTAATGGAATTTAAATACTATAGTAATTTGACGCTCATGATTATCTGTTTCCAACATTCATAGACAAGCTCTTCTTTAACAGCCATAAAATGTGTGCTGTTCCTTTTCAAATGTAAACTTGTGTTCCCCTTGTATGTCCTCTGAAAGGTTTTATCCTGATATATTTTATGCTTGAACATCTTTTATTGATCGGCTATCATATTTATGAATAAATTTAAATTTATTTTATGTTCTGTGACCATAAAACTCTGAGTAATAATATTTTCTTTTCGAATGAGTTATCAATACAAGAATGATATTGATAAAACAACCTGAGTATATTGTACATGTTGTTAAGTAATAATTAAAGGTAACTCGTAAGCTTATAGTGGAAATAAAGCTCTTAGTGAGATAGAAGAGGCTTTTTAAGATTGCAGCCTAGATAAATATCATTACAGCCAGAATGAGGTAGGGCAAGGGTTAAATCTATTCAATTCCTATTTTTGCTTTAAGAGAAACCTGGTTCACATCAGCAGGGATATGGAAATGAAAACCTTGTAGAGAAATGTCACTCAATTCTTTGAAAGTCTTCCAAAACATACGCCAAAAATCACATAGTAATATAGCTTCAAAAATTATTTTAATGATTGCACAGCTGACAATTCAATTAGTTCCTTCTTCAATTTCTTTTAAAGCAATGAATTGGAAAATACCTGACTTGCAAAGAGCTTTGTAACACGGTATTAAATTCATTCGATTTCTCAATATCTAGACAGTATACTGCTAATATTTTACCAAGCTTTATCAAATGACTATTAAAGTAAGAAAGTAAAGAAAAATTCTCTCCTGGACAATTACCAAAGTGGTAGTAGTCAGAAAGGAGAATTAGAATTGCAATTCAATCTCTGGCACTTTCTCAGGCTGATGTGGGGAATTTGAGACCTTGAAATATACTACTTTAAACCTACCATGCCCTGTATAACCCACAGCTGCAAGTTGGGGTGTGTGCAACCAGTTCAAATGACCAAGGGGCCCAGTAGGGGCTCACTTTGAAACAGGTCAGTCCAAGTCTACCTTCCGGGGCCAGAATGCATTTCCATGCCTGCCCACACAGCCCAGCCTGTGGAAAGCCTTGTGCACCCCTAGGGTAGGGCTAGACAGACCCTAGATGGATGAGCAGGCCCTATTTACCTGCTCTCAAACCTGGGTCTCATTAGCAGGCATGGAGGGCAAATAGAGGGGACGAACTGGACAACAGGCATCCCTCCAATGGGGCAGAGCTGAGTCACCAAGTCTGTGCAGCCCTAGGGCCTAAGGAGTGGAAAAAAGACTTGACACAATGAGGGTGGTGGTTGAGGACAGTTATTTTCCTCGTAATGTGTCTGTGCTTTAGAAGGAGTAGTGTCAATGCTTCTTACTTTCTTCCATTGTAACAGGGCTCTTTTACTGACCTACGAAGAAAATCTATGTTTAAGTGCTCTGCCAAATCTGGCTCCTTCCCTGCTGTTTATGGCTATGTCCTGGGCTCTCATTAGCAACAAGCACATGGAGGATGATTTTTGATGTTAAATAAGGGGATCCAAGAGGAAAGTTGAGAAACATTAATGTCAACTTTCAGATTTCTTGAAAAGTCTTTCAAGCATTTAAAATTTTTACATTCCAAACTAAATCTTCCCACTGGTCCTTGAAAAGAGAATTCATTATAACTCTATCACAAGAAATGTCTAACATTATATAGTGCTTATTTGGGGCCTGGCACAACTTCAAAATTCCCATATAAGAAACCACTCAATCTATCCACATTTTACAGATGAGAAACTGAAACACAGAGTGGTTCAGGACTCCTACAGCCCACAGTTGGTACTATCAGAGCAGGGAATTCAAACTCAGGCAGCCTGGCACTAGAGTTTCTGTACTTGAGGGCTGTGATATTCTCCTAAAAGACAAAGTGCTTGTGAGAACACCAAAGACCCCAAATAGCTAAAGCAATCTTGAGAAAGAAGAACAAAGTTGGAGGAATCATGCTACCTGACATTAAACTATACTACAAAGCTATAGTAATCAAAACATCATGGCACTGGCCTAGAAACAGACATAAATCAATGGAACAGAATAGAGAGCCCAGAAATAAACTCACACCTATATGCTCAGTTAATCCATGACAAAGGAGGCAAGACCATAAAATGGAATAAAGATATTTTCTTCAATAACCAGTACTGGGAATCCTGGACAGAAACATGCAAAAAATGAAACTAGATCACTTTCTTACACCATATATAAGAATAAACTAAAAATGGGTTAAAGACTTAAATGTAATACTCAAAACCATAAAACTCCTAGAAGAAAATTTAGGCAATAAACTCTCTGACATTGCTCTTAGTAATATTTTTTTGATATGTCTCCTTAGACAAGGGAAAGAAAAGAAAAGATAAACAAATGGGACTAAATCAAACTGAGAAGTTTTTGCACAAAACAAACAAACAACCTACTGAATGGAAGATGATATTCTCCAATGATAAATCCCATAAAGGGTTAATATCCACAATATATTAGGAACTCATAAAACTTAACACCAAGAAAGATAATCCTATTAAAAAACGGGCAGAGAACCTCAATGGACACTTCTCCAAAGAGGACATACAGATGCCAACAGACATGAAAAGATGCTCAACATCACTAACCATCAGAGAAATGC